TTTCAGTCTTCTTTTAACCAGATTGGGACCTCTGTTGTATACCTGGCTGTTTTGTCTCCTGCTGTTTTCACTTTTAAAAATGTATAATTTTTTTTTCTTGATCTCAGAGAGTAAGGGAGAGGGAGAGAGAGGTAGAAACATCAGTGATGACAGAGAATCATTTATTGGCTGCCTCCTGCACGCCCCACACACACTGGTGATTGAGCCTGCAACCCTGACCAGGAAATGAACTGTGACCTCCTGGTTCATAGATCCAACCACTGAACCACGCTGCCTGGGCTCACTTCACTTTTTTTTTTTTTTTTTTTTTAATATTTTTTATTGATTTTTTACAGGGAGGAAGGGAGAGAGACAGAGAGCTAGAAACATCGATGAGAGAGAAACATCGATCAGCTGCCTCCTGCACATCTCCCACTGGGGATATGCCCGCAACCCAGGCACATGCCCTTGACCGGAATCGAACCTGGGACCCTTCAGTCCGCAGGCCGACGCTCTATCCACTGAGCCAAACCAGTTTCGGCCACTTCACTTTTTTTTTCACTTCACATTTTTGAACACTGCCTAGTACTCCTCTCTAAGTCAGTGGTTCTCAACCTGTGGGTCACGACCCATATAGGGGTCAAACGACCCTTTCACAGGGGTCGCCTAAGACCATCGGAAAACACATATATCATTACATATTGTTTTTGTGATAATCTCTATGCTTTAATTATGTTCAATTTGTAACAGTGAAATTGGGGGTCACCACAACATGAGGAACTGTATTAAAGGGTCGCGGCATTAGGAAGGTTGAGAACCACTGCTCTAAGTGAACCAGAGTAGCCATTGTTCTACTGGTGGACATTTACATAAGCCATTTCCAGTTGTTAGGAGTCATTTTTTTTTTTTAATTTTTTTAAAAAAATATATTTTATTGACTTTTTACAGAGAGGAAGGGAGAGAGATAGAGAGTTAAAAACATCGATGAGAGAGAAACATCGATCAGCTGCCTCCTGCACATCTCCTACTGGGTATGTGCCCGCAACCAAGGTACATGCCCTTGACCGGAATCGAACCTGGGACCTTTCAATCTGCAGGCTGACGCTCTATCCACTGAGCCAAACCGGTTTCGGCTAGGAGTCATTTTTTTAACAAATGTTTCCTTAATTTAAGTCTTATTCTGAATTTCTGACTGTTTCAGCTGGATTCTGTGTAGACAAGTGTGCCAGGTCCGAAGGGCAAGAGCCCAAGGAATGATATGGTGGTGATTCCTAAATGCTTCCCAGGAAGGCCCTGCCAGTTAGGGCCCCCCTTCCTCGGTCCCTGCTGACACAATATCAGCATCACCCAGACTCTCTACTAACTGGAAGGGGTTGAGAGCAAGGAGTTTGAATATGGGTGAGCATGTGACTATGGACAAGGACCTGCTCTGTGCCTCAGTGTCCCCACCTGTGAAAAGAATGCCAGTGGTTTTCACACCAAGAGTTGTTTTGAAGAGTAACTGTAATAATATATATGCAAAATGCTCAAAAGAGTCTGGGTATGGGAGAGGCAGCCATGGTCACTGTCCCTACCATTGACTGGTGTTCTGTGCTGGGCCTCGCTTTGTGAAATTCTTGGGGTGAAGGGAAGTTCTTAGCAGAAAGCTCTTTGTCAGTGAGCACGGCTGACCTTAGAGCAGAGTCCCTTGAGGGATGAGCTGGTTGGATTTGATGGCAGCCTCCCACCCCTTTTACACAGGGTCCTAGAGGAAGGTACCTGTCCTGGTGCGGTCACACCTCCAGAGCACACTCCACCCAGGCAGCACTTAAAGGCAGCTTAACTTTTCTGAATTTGGGCACGTTCCTCTTGCTGGCTGGAGCCCTAAGCTTTGTGACAGTATCTTGACCATACAAGGCCCTGATTTTGATGTTGATTCCTCTGCTGGTGTGTTAGGGGAGCTCAGCCTTCCTATATGGTTTTCTCTGACTCACAGTTGGAATTGGGCCTCATAATACAGTATATTACAGTAATTAACTCGGTTTTAGTTACAGATGAATAAACAACACTTGGAAAGGGCCTGCGGGGCTTATTTTATGATTTGATGGTCCCTGGTTGGAGAAAGTTTGTGTCTGTGTCTTCTGTGCTATTTAATGTTCAAAGTGCTCCTAGCACGCTCCCTTCCAGTCAGCTTGAGTATTTTTCATATGTTCACTCGTTAAATCCTCAGAGCAAGCCTGGGAGTTCCCGTTCTCCTTATCCCTGACTATGAGGTAAAGGGTCTGAGCCACAGAGAGATGACATAACTTGTTCAAGGTGAGGCAGCTAGTGAGGATCAGTGCTCAGCTGGGCAGAGTGCGTGTTCTAACAGTTCAGCAATAACCCTTCTCTACTTGTACCTGTAAGTGTGATCGTCTGTCCGAGAACCATGACTAGTTCATATGCAGAAGGTTTTCACAGTTTAGTAACTAGTGATTAAGCTTTTGGAGCTCCACTCGTGTGATATCCTACAATTAGATTCTTCCTCAGCAGGTCTGTAGAAACTTAAAAGAACTCTTAAGAGCCAGGACACACTTAAAGAATCCAGTTGTAGCTGCTGAACTCTCTGAGGTATATAGGCCTCTAGCTTTGAATCGTTGGTCCCTGTGCAGATCTAAAGGCTTCCTCAGAATGAAAGACTGTTCACTGCACTGACCCTGAGTCTAGCTTCAACATCCCCAAGCTCAGTCTTCATATGAAATCCTTGCTGAATTTGCATTTTATCCTTCCTAAAGAGAGAAAGATACAGACAGATAAAGATGCAGGGGGATCTGAGAAACATGTCAACCTTCTACTCCCAAATTCAACTCCTTGGCCTCCTGGCGCTGACTCGGGGCTCACTTCCTCATCTGCCCAGTGCAGCACAGCCCTCTCTCCTCTCTCTTACCTCCTTTGTGCTCTCAGGACAAGCTTCTGTAACTTCATCGCCACTGAGAATTAGGGGAGGTGTGCCATTTAAAAAACATGGTTCTGTATTGTAAAATCAGCTTCCATCTGCCTGGCAGTTAATCTTTTAAGGGTGATGGAAGCTGTTGTCTGCAGCTATGAAGGGCGAGGTGTCTACTGTGAGACTTGATTGCATGGGGGAAAAGAAATCCAAAAATATCCTTGGGTCATTTGTTTCCTTGCCCCAAATTCATTTGCATTTCAATCTGTCAGCTAAAATGTTTGCTACCTTTACCAGATTTGAATATTGGATACTGGATATTTTGATGCTGGTATTTTCCTAAACTCTCTTAGTGGCTAAGCAAGGTATTCCATAATTAAATTGCGCCTTGATATGTTTTCGGTGGCTATGAAAATGTAATTTGATCTCAAAGTAATTTTCCCTTGAGAGTTTCTACTTCTAAGAGGAGACTGCTAAACCCAGTACTCAAAAAGCCAAAGAAGTTAAAACTCTTAAGTTCTTATTTACAAATTGTGTGAAATAAATTGAAGTCTACAGAAAATGCCCAGTTTACATATGACTCTACTTCAAGTTCATTTGGAAGTCAGTGGTTTGAAACTTGTCTTTGTCGTCCTGTCAGAGATGCCCTTGCGAAGGGGTGGTTGTCATGGTCTCCAAACCCCCTGTACCTGCTCTGAAAAGGTGGAGTGAGCACAGCAGGTGGCAGTCCTACTTACAGGTTCACCATGACACACTCAGAGGGTGTAGAAGGTTTACCTTGAGTGGAGTTGTGGGACATGGTGAGGCCCACTTTTCCAGAGACTCCAAAGGTGCCAATGTCGATGGCTGACGCTTCCTAACCAAGGTCATTGAGAACGGGCGTCCTTCCTTGTTCTTGATAGCACTGTGCCATTGGCACACCTCCCCCAATTCTCAGCGGCAGTGAAGTTACAGAAGCTTGTCCTGAGAGCACATAGGAGTAAGAGAGAGAAGCACAGCAGGGGTCTGATCTGAGGGGAAGTAGGGAGATGGATGTGGTGCTGTTAGTGGGGAGCAGGGGAGAAGAGTGGGGCTGGGGCACAGCCTGTGGGAGACTCCTGGTGGGAAAGACACGGCATTGATGTAGGGCTGTGGCCATGGAGAGCCACGGGTGGCCCTGAAGGGCTTGCATTTGGGGTGGGATGCATGCATGTCTGTGTGTAAGAAAGGCCAGTGATCATAACTCTCATGGTAACTCGGTGCCTGCAGGACCAGGCAGAGGGCTGTGTAGTTGAGAATGGCTCTGTGACCAGCTCCATTTTATTAGGGAGGACAGGGATAAATGAATGGCACACTTAGGGTTTTGTTGCTTTAAGTTTTTCCAGAGAGCTCTGGCCAGGTGGTTCAGTTGGTGAAGCGTCGTTTTGTACACCAAAAGGTTGCAGGTTCGATCCCCCTTTGGCGTGCTTATGGGAAGGCACCTATCCAAGTGTGTATCTGTCTCTCTCTCCTCCCTCCTCCCTCCTCCCTCCTCCCTCCCTCCTTCCTCCTCCCTCCTCTCCCCCCTCCCCTCCCCTCCCCTCTCTCCCTCTCTCCCTCCCTCCCTCTCTCCCTCTGAACATATCCCTGGATGAGGGTTACATTTTTTTTTTCTCTCCCGAGATTGAAATTTCAGAAGCTATTGAGGAACCAGAAGTACAATAGAGGTGTGCTGGGAGGGAATGACTCACCCACAGGACCTGTGGGCTGGCAGGCTGGATGGGGATGCCTCAAGGAGCCCTCACTGCCACCCATGACCACTGGTCAGCAAGTGCATTCCAGATCCTGGAGGTGTCAGATGCTGTTTGTGCAGCTCAATTCCTTCTCAAGATGCTTTTTAAAATTAGCCTTTTAGAATAACACCTATAGTGTAAATAAACATTTGGAGTTTTCATACTGGAAGAGGGCTTTTTTCGTTTTCATTTCACAATTGATGCTTACATGCTTTACAAGGTAATATTGCAACCACCCGTTTCTTTATTTTTTATTTTTTTTTAAATATTTCATTGATTTTTTACAGAGAGGAAGGGAGAGAGATAGAGAGTTAGAAACATCGATCAGCTGCCTCCTGCACAACCCCTAATGGGGATGTGCCCACAACCCAGGTAGGTACATGCCCTTGACCGGAATCGAACCCGGGACCCTTCAGTCCGCAGGCCGACGCTCTATCCACTGAGCCAAACCGGTTTCGGCCCACCCGTTTCTTTAATTGCAGAAGTAAAACTATTTATTAAACATACCCATGCTAGTGAGTTATGCCTGTGGGAAGAGATAGCACGAAGCACTGAGTCTACCCTGTAAACATCTCCATCTGGGAGAGTCCCTGAGACTGGTCTTGCGCTGAGGTGCTTGGCTGGCTCATGTGGCCGAGGCAGGAAGGAATCCCACGAAGGAGGAAGGCTGCCCGTGACTTGTTCCTGTGTCATCGTGCCCATAGTGTGGAGTGCAGGGGACACTGCTGGGTGCTTTGGCAGCGGTGGTTGTCTAGTGACTAGCATCTCAGCCTTGGACTGATGCTGGACAGTACAGCCTTGGTTAGGCTGTCATCAGACAGGAAGTGCCTGGGTCCTCACGGGCAGCCCTGTTTCTCAGGCTCCCACTCCTGTGGGTAGAGGTGCCCAGAAGGGGTGTTTCAGGGGTGCGGAGGTCCCTGCCTGGCACCCAGGGGTTTGTCTGGAGGTATAGGCCTGCTGTGAGTCTAGAGCTGCTCCAGCCTTGGGACCTTGGCACTGGCTAGTCCTCTGTGGAGGAAGCTCTCCCCAGGTGTCTTTAGGGCTTTCCCCACATCCTCAGATGTCACCTTCCCAGTGAGTGCTTCTCTGTTTACGTACATTTACACCAACCCCATCCAAATTCTCCCCCCTCCCTTCCCTGCTGTATTTTTCTCACAGTGATTATCACCATATGACACACTGTAACTTTTATCTGGTTTCTATTTTTGGGGTGGTCTTTCTACTCCACTGAAATGTGGGCTTCTTGAGCGCATGGGCTCAGTTTTGCTCTTTGCTGTCTCTCCAGTGCCCAGGAGAAATGTGCGGCGTACAGTAGGTGTTCGGTTAACCTTTGTTGTTGAGGTGGATAAGAGCAGTGTGATCTCCAGAGCACTGCATTTGCCTTAAATCATCAAAGCTGCCGTGAGGTGCTGGCGGAGGCTGCCATTTCACATAAAGCATGTGACGGAGAAGCAGGGGTGTGTGTGTGTGATCATCTGTTGTTGCCATTTCCAAACTCCAAAGTTCTTTCTATCCTCCCTTGGATGTTGATTTCAAAATGACTGGTTTTTCCTTCTGGCTCATGAAGGCTGCTGCGTTGAATCTGAAACATAGAGGAAAGCAAAACTTTAAAAAATGCTTTAAAGTTTTGCGTGATGAGCTCTTACTACATTTCACTTTTTGAACTTTAGTATCCCTTTCCTGGCCACTGCAGCACCATCTGAGCCTCCATCACCCTCCTCTGAACAGTACTGCAGCCCTTCATCGCTCCTTCCAAGCCCCTCACCAACCCATGCTGTGGACCACAGCAGCCAGGGGGCTGCTCTGTTCCCCCAGCACTTGTCCAGCTCTGCCATAGCCACCCTCACAACTTTACCCAGCTAGTTCTGTAAAGGACGTCGGGCTTGTCACCCCATTTCGATGTAGCTCATAGGGGCAGGGACCATGTTTGCCTAAGGCTGTGTTGTGGGACCATGGCTGGCACAGTGGCCATGTTTGTTGAATATTTGGGTTAATAGCATAGTTGATTTACCTCTTTTAAGGAACTTTGATGAATAAAATGAGTGCATATATTGTTTTAATGAAATACCTGGAAAACCGTGGCTTTGAAGGGTCAGGTGTTCTTAGAGAAGTCACTCCACAGCCTGAGTTGTCTGCACTGGGCAAGTTAATGTCTCAGAGCTCCCGCTGAACTCCCCAGGGCTGAGGATATGGAATTGTGGGACATGTTGTAACTGTGGCAAAAACAAGATATGCCTGCTGAGCTGGGTGGAGCAGGCGAGGGTGGCTAGAGGGGTTCCTGGGGTGACTCTTGGAGTCCTGGGAATTCGAGGTGGAGAGGAATGGTGCTTGTGGACCATGGGTGCTGCCAGCATCCTCTCCTTGCCTCTTCTCCTGGCCAGAGGGCCACCTTCCTCATCTTCCTGCATCTCTGCACGCTCCCTGTTCTCTCCTCGCACTGTGGTCCCCCCAACCAATGCAGGCACGACTCCACTCAGGCCCCAGAGCATTCTGCACTCGCAGAGCATGCTGATGGTGTCAGCCAGCTGCCAACAACAAAGGTAAGGTGACTGACTAGTGTATGTTAACGTGTAGTAAGGTGGCATGTGTTCCTAAAAGGAGAGGCTTAGGAACACCTTTCAACCTCATCGGAATTGTGCTTTGGGCTGAGTGAACTTGCCAGGCATCTTGTAAAGGTAAACTTAGCATCAAGTGCATTTGTGTTTACAGGTGGGAAAAACCTTGGCTCATACCTTTATCTTGTGACAGACTCTGTAAAGTATGAAGAACACACAAGATCTCGATCCTAGAACCACCCACAGGGTACAATGCTAAGAATATAGACACAGGTTTAAATCTTAATACCTTTTACGTGCTGTCGGGGGACGGGGAGGGCGGTTCTTCCAAGAGGGGTGAGTCCCCGTGGGAGCAGCTGTTCCAGGCCAGGCTGTATGTGTCCAGATGCTTTTCCTCACGTCCAGTTTCCTGGCTGGATACATTCTCATTCTGCAGTGGCTTGTTTTATTGTGGGATAATCAGGGCATTCTTCGTGGCAAACAAAAAGCTCCTAGCTGTGCTTTTCAAATCCCTGCTCTGCGTTGAGTTTGCTTCATTAATTAAAAAAAAAAAAAAGGAAAAATAATCCATCGGAATGTAAATCAGAAATTATTGGGTGTAATCTTATGGGAAATGAAATGTCATAGGCTGGCGTTTGGAAACAGCAATGTCGAGCAGAGTTGCAGCCCCGACTTGCATGTGCTGAGCCAGGAGTCCAGGCAGAACTGAAAAAGAAAGCAAGTGCTTGCGCCTGGCAGTGTGTCCTTGGGCTTCAGCTCTGTGGCTGCTGGAGTGACGGGACTGCTTTCCCAGGGGCAAGGGGTTGTGCTGAGACATTGAGATGAGTGCATCTTTGCCAGGTTGGTGTTTTACCCTCTTGGGAGTGAAATGTGGATGTGGCTGCTGAGGGAGTTGAGTCCTCTCACCCTCATTAGAGGTGTGCCCACTCCCTCCTCAGCCTCCTCCAGCTCTCTTGGCCCCTTTCTCTCCCTCCTCGAGCTTCCCGAATGCCCATTCTGCTCAGTCTGGTATTTCTCAATGCAAAGTCGCAGCCCTGCTTGGCGTTCTTACTGCGAAGCCTCATTAATACTGCTGTTTTATTCTGTTTAGGTCATGGGTGTAAGTTTCTTATTTCCCAAACACAGCCTTATGCCACACTAAGCCCAGAGCCACTTCTGTTCTCTTTGCTCCCCTGGCCTGGGGACTCAGCCCAGGCTCCTGCCACCCCTGGTCCGACATCTTGACCCCAGGGCATTGCCCCAACTGCACAGACTTCCCAGATTCCTCATTGGATCCCACCCCTATATCTAAGGAAGCACTGGTCACACACTCCCACGGGCCTGCCCCTTCCTCCTAACCCTCTGGACCCCCATTCTTCTTTAGGTAAAGCCAAAGGACCCCACAGATCAGCTTTAGCTGCCTCCCTACTGGTGAAAATAATCACCATTTTCTTTAAAGGGGCCGTGGCCTGGAACAATGGCCGGAACTTCTGTGACATGGAATCGAGGGTTTGCCTCAACCATTGGATGAAAAGAGCTGAACCATGACGTTTGCACTCACCAGGCTCAGGAGTTATTCATCAGCTCACTGCTGCCTCAGAGACAGCTGTCAGGTCAAGTAGGAAAGATCAGAGGGGGCGGGGCTCATCTCCACCTTCAGAGCCCCCTGGGTGAGGGCTGAGGCCTCAGCGCCTGCCTCAGTCAGATAGGACCCTGGGCTCAGGGGGAACCAGTCTAGCAGGGAAGGAAGTTTATTGGACGCCAACAGAGCTCAGCAGCAGGACACACACAAAGGTGACCCAGGCCTGAAAGGGTTGGAGGGACACTGGATGGGACAGAGTCGGGAGCAGGTGAGCCAGATGGGACTGCAGTGCTCGGTGCAGAGGACACCCCTGGGGAGCCCAAGGAGAGGAGCGGGGAGATGGGCTTGTGCTGAGCCTCTAACTGTGAGGATGATCTGGCGAAGGGCACGTGTAGGGAAGGCCTCAAAGGACATACTACATGCCTCTTTTTGAGGCTCAGCAACTCTGAGTCATTTAAAACAGAGCTCTGTATGGCTTACCTTAAAAATCCATGTGAATTTTACACTTGAATCCTTGTTCCATTTTTTTTTTTCTTAATCCTCACCCGAGGATATTTTTTCCATTGATTTTTAGAGAGAGTGGATCGGAGGGAAGAGAGGAGAAAAAGAGACAGAGAAACATTGATGTGAGCGACATTGACTGGGTGCCTCCCACACACACCTCAGGCAAGCCTGGGAATTGAACCTGCAACCCAGGTACATGCCCTTGACTGGGAATTAATTGATCCTGAGACCCTTCCATGCATGGGCTGACGCTCTAATCATTGAACCACACTGGCCAGGGCTCCTTGTTCTATTTCGAATACAAAAGTGTTTTCTCAAAATCCCCACAGAGGCCACCCTTACATACTGGATCAAACACACTGATTTAGAAAGTTCGGGCCGAGAGCACTCTAGAGAGAGGTGCCCAGGGGCCAGGTGTTCATATGCACAACAGAACCCTGACATCCGAGTCAAGTACCCTTCCAGACTCCCGGAAGACACGCCAGCTCTCTGGGTACCCAGAACCTGCCGTTCACCCCAGATGTACCTGCTGCTGGGCTGACCTCCACCAGGACACGCAACGCCAGCGTGGGCTTTAGAAGGGACCCTCATCATACTGTGTTTCTCCCCCGTGGCATGACTCTGAGCTCCAGGTCTGCCCAGGCATCACTGGGCTCTGAGGGCAGGACACTCAGCCCAGCGGCTACCTTCACACTGCCCCACAATGGTCCTAGCACATGGCCCCACACATCCTCCCAGGAGGGAAGTCACAGAGCCCATGACCCAGACTTGCCTCCAGGCCCACCCACCAGAGCCCAGAACTGCGGGTTCACCAGGGAAACCCTGAGACGTTGAAAAGCAAGCGGCTTTCAGGACAGGCTACACCAGTGGTCGGCAAACCGCGGCTCGAGAGCCACATGCGGCTCTTTGTCCCCTTGACTGTGGCTCTTGCACAAAATACCATGTGTGGGTGCACACGTACAGTGCGATTGAAACTTCGTGGCCCATGCACAGAAGTTGGTTTTTGGCCCGAGCGAGTCTATTTTGAAGAAGTGGCGTTAGAAGAAGTGGGGGTACGTTCGCTGAGGTCGACCCCTCAGATTGAGGACGTTTTTAGCAAAGGCCAGCTTAGGAGTACCCTAATTAAGTTACTAACAACGTACCTACCTATATAGTTTAAGTTTAAAAAATTTGGCTCTCAAAAGAAATTTCAATCGTTGTACTGTTCATATTTGGCTCTGTTGACTAATGAGTTTGCCGACCACTGGGCGACACCATCCACCAGTTACAAGCGAGCCTGTCCAGCTTTCCACTGATGAGCAGCACGTAAGGAAATTCAAAAGCAGTCTCCATCGTGGAGTCACGTCAGTACTCTGGCAGATTTCTTCTTGTGGACTCCTTTTAATTGGATGGGTTTCATTAGGAAACAGGTCCCAGGGGGCAGGGTTAGGACAGGACAGGCAGCACCGTGAGAGCTGTGTTCTTACAACTGCACTCCACACTAGATGGCTCATTGATGCCAGGATGGCTGAATCCCTGAATCCCACCCCCAGGGGGCCCAAGGGAGTGTTGATGGCAAATGTTTGTGCACAGAAAATCCTATGCTTTTGTATTTAGATTTCAATGGGAGAAATTTGACAGAAAGACTATATCCCGCATTTAGATCAGGACACTGAACCCTCTTAGTTTCCAGTGGCCATCCCTTTTCCACTCTAACAAAGTAGTGGTGGTGTCCAATTCCTGGTGTGTTTGTGGAAATCCAGAAGTGATCCAGCCACACTGCTGGTCTCCAGGGGAGGTCTGAAGCCGACATCCATGAGCCTGCGCCATGGGACCCTGGGGCCTGAGCACGGGGGCTGCCAGGACACAGAGATGAGGCCCTGGCCAAACCCTAGAGCACGGTGCCTGCTGTCATTTCTCAAGAGAATAGGGAGGGCAAAGGCAGGGCAGAGCCCAAGTCACATGCTGTCCCAGGAGACCCCTGACCTAGGGTTCCTCAACTGAGGGAGGCAGTGAAGACAACCCTGACTGGGAACCCCACGCCACCACTCCTCTCAGCTGCCCAGCAATGTTCTGAGGACCAGGAAGGCATCCCAGCCTCTCAAACAGCCCACCCACAAACACAGCTAGGTGCTCCTGCCCATGCTGCAGGCCCAGCGGTAAACCTCAGCCCTTAAATGCAGAATTGAATGTACTTCCCAGCCACGCATCGTGGATAAATTGGATGCTGCTTGTCCCTAAGGGCTGCCACTCCGACACCAGGTCTTGAAAATGGCGAGGAACAAATGTAGAAAATGACAGGCTCTCACACAAGATTCTAAACAGAAAACATCTCTGTTGACATGTCACACTCCAGCTCCTTCAGTTTCCTTTATAGAGCTTTTGCACTTGGCTCCTTTCGATCACTTCCGGATTTCCACAAACGGACACGACCACTACTTTGTTGCAACAGAAAAGGGATGGCCACTAGAGACATGAAAGTCAGAGGCCTGAGTGTCCTGAGTTAAATGCAAGATATATTCTGTCAAGTTTCTCCCACTGAAATCTAAATGCAAAAGCATAGGATTTTCTGTGCACAAACATTTGCAACCGACCTAATTAGAAGCACAGTTTTTATCTATTTCAAATTTGCACATAAAACCTTCACCTATGCCCTCTTCTGCTTTGTTTTCTAGTTTCTCACATCCTTGACCAAGAAGAAGCGGCAGACATCACCAACGACAAATGAGGAAATGGAGGCCCAGAGACCAGACGCTTGTCCCAGGCACCAGATGCACACAGCAGGGATGGGGCCTCACACAGCCAACAGGCCGCACACGTGCACGAGTGTCAGCTGGTTCTGACTTCGTTTTCCCTACAGGAGACCCCACAATGCCCTGTGTGCACCGAGATCGGAAACCCTCCGGCACACTTGGGGAATAAAGGAAAAACAGGGCTCCACGTAGAGACGAAGGTGCATATGTCAGGGCTCCAGGTCATTCCGACCTCAGTACTGCCCCTGGACACCTACCCCGGAAACAAAACCCTCAGACTTCAGGACCCTGACCCCCAGGTTGCCTCCCCAGCTGCAGGCAGACACTGTTCAGTGTAGCTTTGAATTTAGGATGGCACACACGACTCAAATGAGGCTCCCCAGAAGAAAAGACCCCTACCAGTGAGCCTCCTGAGGAGGCTCCTGGAACAACCGTGCCTCAGATTATCTGAGGGAGTGCCACCAAGCTCCAGGAATATGGAGATGGTTCACAGGGCCCCATTCAGTTCAGCAGGACCCGACCCATTTAGGGACCATCACCCGAGGGCGGAGGACAGTCGTGAGCAGAAAGCCATGGTGGACCTGCCACCTGCCCAGGTCACAGCTGCTATGAACATTTACGTCACAAGGCAAGGGGACATCCATCTGTCCGGTTTTGTCAGGTACTTCCCTCCCGAGAGACATCTCAGGTACAAAGCTCCTGCATGTAAATCCCCTGCAAATATCATGTGACTATGAGTGTGGGTGTTTAACATATAACTGCTGGCATTAGAAAATCAACTAGAGCCCTAGCTGGTTTGGCTCAGTGGATAGAGCGTCGGCCTGCGGACTGAAGGGTCCCGGGTTGATTCCAGTCAAGGGCACATGCCCAGGTTGTAGGCTCGATACCTAGTAGGGGGTGTGCAGGAGGCAGCCGATCAATGATTCTCTCTCATCACTGATGTTTCTCTCTCTCCTCCCCTCCTCCATGAAATCAATTAAAAATGTATTTTAAAAACAAAATCATGCCCTAGCTGGTTTGGCTCAGTGAACAGAGGGTCAGCTTGAGGACTAAAGGGTCCCAGGTTCAATTCTGATTAAGGGCACATGCCTGGGTTTCGGGCTTAATCTCCAGTAGGGGGCATGCAGGAGGCAGCCAATCAATGATTCTCTCTCATCATTGATGTTTCTAGCTCTCTCTCCCTCTTCCTTCCTCTCTGAAATCAATAAAAAAAATATTTAAAAAAATCAACTAGAGACGGAAAAGGTGGGAATCATGACCCCCCTGGGGCTGAGGCACCAGTTATAAGAACCCAGGGGCCCTGGCTGCAAACACTCTGTGGGGGCTCTGCCAGCCTGGGAATGGGCCTCCTCAGGGCCAGAGTCTCCAGTCCCCCTGGGCACCAGCCACTCAGAGGTAGGAGGCAGGACACTGCAGACAAGACACCAGCCAGGGGTTCATACCTGGCCCACTGCTCTCTCGAGGCACCTGAGCCCTCACCACCAGCTGACTCCACGGCCACCGCCCTGCTGGCTCCCAGGTGGCCTCTGCTCTCTTCCGCCCTGCTGGCGGATCCAGTGCAGAGTCCACGCTTCCTTCGCTCTGGGGCTGACGGGCAGGCCTGTGGCTCCCCTGCTCCCTAACCCCCTCCTAAACTTTTGTATAGAAAGCTGTATAAAAATTATGTGTTCTATTTAATTCTTATACTTTTGGGCTTGTGGCTTTTGGTACTTCTCACAATAAAAAAATTTTTTGGCCCTGACCGGTTTGGCTCAGTGGCTAGAGCATCAGCCTACAGACTGAAAGGTCCCAGGTTCGATTCCGGTCAAGGGCATGTACCTGGGTTGCGGGCACATCCCCAGTGGGAGGTGTGCAGGAGGCAGCTGATCGATGTTTCTCTCTCATCGATGTTTCTAACTCTCCATCCCTCGCCCTTCCTCTCTGTAAAAAATCAATAAAATATATTTTAAAAAAAATTTTTGGTGGAAGATTTTTTTAAACAACTAACTAGGACTGCCTGGGACTCAGCGCCCTTTATCTGTTTTGAGATACCTCAGCCTATCTATCGGCAATGAGTGGCTGGCACAGCTCATCCTTCCAGAACCATCTCCGCACACCTGAACTCACTTGCCAAGCAGGCCAAGATCCTGGAGGCCCAATGCTGAGGAAACCAGAGCCCACCAGAACACAACTGTGGGAGAGACCGTGGGTGCACCCCCACTTAGGTGCCGCCCGGATGCCTTGAGCCTCTCCCAACACACGCCACCAGGGCAGGCGAACTCGGGAGCATGTTCTCCAGTTTCTTGCAAGAAACCTCAGTGACTGCCCAGGAACCGGTGCCCCTCCCCAGGCACAGGCTCCTGTGCCCGCAGCAGGAACTGGCCTTCCAGGACCTGTCCTAAAACCAGCCAGGGGCTCTGAGTGGACAGCACGAAGAGGAGCCAGGAAGCAGGGGAGGCCGGGTGTGTGTGGCTGAGGTGGGAGCTGGCACCACGGGGTTTGGGTAAGCCAGTGAGGCTGTGTAAGAGACATTAACAAAAGACATCATGAAGGGGAGACGAAAGCACTTTGGAACATTCTTTCTAAAAGAACAGAAGATGAAGACTATTAAGAGCCGACTCTACGGACGGCAGTAACCCAGCTCCAAGCACTGGCAGGGCAGGTGTTCCAGTCATCTTCCTTAAGGCTCACAAGGCCGCCCGCCATGACAGAGAGGCACATTAACCTGCCCGGAGCCACACAGCCAATTAAGTTGTGGGCGGAGTCGGTCAGGGCCAGAGTACCAGCCGGGTTGCTCCATCCCACCCAATGCCCACATCCCACCAATTCTAGACTGGAATGTTCTGGGTGCTCTGTAGTGTGGGGGCAGATGGCAATTAAGACCCGGTGAGAGTACTGGTGCTCAGAGGCCTGCTGACACCCAGGCCACACAGACCCTCCCTGGTGCCAAGCAACCAGCTCCTTTAGAGGACTTGGACGACTGCTGGCCCAGTGAGTGCTGACCCGGAGAGTCCCTGGAAAGGAGCCAGGCGCACCGCTCACAGGTGAAAGCAGCCACTGACAACCTGGCCACAGGGAGGCATCTCTGTTCCCCTACAAGTCTATTGGCAAAGTCAGTGTTCTGACCGCTGCTTAAACTAACACCAGTCACTGCTGCTGGAGGAGAGGAACTGAAGGATCCGTGTTCACGGGGCAGAAAGAGGAACTGCTGTGTGGCCGACACCACTTCCTCCCGCTCCCCCCAGATGACTGCGGGTGGGACAGCTCATGGCCTGGGGGCCGGTGCCCTGAAGCAAGCTCTCCTCACTCCTTTTTAGAACTTTCCAGCACTGACTCTAGGGCTGGCTCAGGTCAGAGGAGCCTTCCGGTTGGGCACCTTGTGAAGAGGTGACCACTCGTCTGGGAGCAAGCACCTGCTGTACTAGGGGAGGAGGACCACTCCCAGGACACAGGGGCCCATTCCCTCAGGTCCTGAGCCGACCTCGAGGCGTGGTCAGGGCTAAGAACGGACCCAGAGCCCCATCCTCCAGCGAAGTGTGAACTGACACGCACCAGTGTCTCAGGACACCCACTCGTGGCCTCAGACAGGCCGGCGCACAGCTCTCATCAGGATGGGAGACACGCTTAAGAATTCGGCCAGTTCGCCCTTCACCTCTGATCTAGTTACACTAAACAATCTACCATTTCCACTCAGAATAATCCCCACTTCTCTTGCCAAGTGGCTTAAAATATCGTATTTCCACCCACAGCCCCATCACTTAGCCCCGTCTTTAAAATTCCTTTCACTATCTTTCCAATCCTGACTCTTGCCAACACCAAGTACACCTGGAGTGAGCCCAAGCAAAGAACTGAAAAGGGCAAGTCATCAGAAGCACCATGATGGCCCCTCCCCTCAAAGACCCATCTGCCGCCACAGAATCTGCAGCCCCAAAGCCAGGACAGCGGCCCTGTCAGGACCAAAGCAAATGGGCAACCCCAGCTTTCTCCCGACGGGCTCAGCCGCAGAGACCAAATCCCCTCAAATCTTCCTTCATCTGAGTGGTTTACCCACCAACAAGTAGTCGTATTTCCTGTTGCCCTCAAACTCCTAAAGTATCTCCACACTGAAACGGCTGATTCAGCTCTAAACAAGGCCTAACCTGTTCATTAGTACCTATGGGCCAGGTATCTGGAATACAGAGACACAGCCAAAGTGAATCACACAGCAAGTATTTACGAAGCACTTCCGGGAAGGAGTATTACACCTGGCCAGCCCCTAAGGGAACCTGGAAGAGAACAGTGACCCAGGACAGACTCAGCCCCATGGAGGAAGCCCCAGGAGGAAGAGAATTCACACTTACACTGTCCATAAAGAGAACCCATGGTGGCAATGGGCCCAGAGTCAGAACTTGAGACAAGAAGGTAGGGGATGGTGGGCACTGGGTCCCACTCAAGCTCAGTCCTGAGAGAGGGAATGTGAAGACTTAGGGGAAGGGGGACCAGTCGTAGCCCAGCTCCCCACCTCCCCTAGCAACCCGCCTGCCCACTCCTAAAAAAGCACTCTGAAAATGTCCTGTAACTCCAACTCTCCCACATGGCTTCACTGACTGAGCTCCCCACCAGACATTCTTCCCTTAACAGCAGGCCACAGGCACTCTCCCAGGGACCTCCAAACCCTTGGAAGTCCTCCCCTAGATCTCCCCACCCAGCCCCTATCCAAGCACCACCTTCTGCAAGCCCGGTGCTCAATAAACACTAGCCCAGTGCCCAACTCCGTAATCCTCCCCTCTCCCGAATCCTCAGAATCCTCTCTCAGGGTTTAGTGACTCTCTGGGACATTTTTGTTGTTGTTGTAATTTAAAAAAATCCTTGCCCTAGGATATGTTTTATTGACTTTAGAAAGAGAGAGAGAGAAACATCTATCAGGGTACATACCCATCACAACTAGTATGTGTCTTGACCAAGAATCAAACTCGAGACCTTTCAGTGTACAGGATGACACTCTAACCAACTGAACCACCCCTGGCCAGGGCTCTGGGACATTCTTTCTTCAAAACCAAGGAGAAAGAAACTAAGAGACCAAGGATCTCACACATTTTCTCATTTGAATTAAAAAAATCCCACTACTATGACTAATGTGAATTAGCATTACTCTTTCTGACAAACTCACATTATCTGTGACTAAAATTAACCCTTATTTACTATCAACTATTTTATTTTATGAGACAGAAACTGTAACTGCTACATTACCTTCAGGTTATAAATTCGTTTTACATTTTAGCAAACAAATATGGCTAAGTGGATGATAACTGGAAAAGCAACAACACAGACATATTCTGATAGATTAATTACCCTCCCTCAGAGAACTATTACAGTAAAGCATGAATTTTTAAAGTAGTCTTGAAACAGTCAAATAAAGGGACGAATGGACTTAACTGTGCAAGCTATAGTTAACTGGCTCAGTATCAGTTGTTTCAG